GCGGGCAGGTTTCACCCTGGCTTTGGGTCCCCAGGTCCAGGCAGGGGGACAGGATCTACACAACGTGGACGCCTCAGGGCCCGCAGACCATGGCCTCGAACCCAGACCTCGCAGCCAAGTCAAGGGGTGTGCACCCACAGCACGCAGGGGGAACCCTGAGATCCACAAACGTCACACATGCAGGCCCCAGCCACACACACAACACAGCGTGCACATACGGACTATGGACATAGATGTGACTGTAGTACATACACCCCAACACCACACACGATTGCACGCTGCAGACAGACATGACCCTGCTTGCACACACCAGCAGCTCAGGAGGGTTTCTTGCCAGGTTAGGACTGGCGATGGTCAGTGATGACCTTCCAGCAAGCACTGAGCACGGCCATGGGAAGAGAACCCGCCTGCTTTCACCAGCAGCAGCCATACACACAGCCGCCCAGAGCTCAGCACCTTCTGGACAAGGTTGCAGGGGCTTCAAAGACGGGAAATGCTGGCTACTTGTTTAGCTAAGGGACCCAGCTCAAATCCAAGAGCCTGAGTCCCAGAAATGAGCATCAGACCTAGAGAAGCAAACAGAACCGTCACTGCACCAAGAAAACAGCGCGGTGCTAACAGCATCAAGCAGGCACGGCTGTGTGTGCCAGCCTGCGTTCCGTGCTGCATGTATCACACACAGTTCTGGCGCTCGGCCAGGTGCGCACACAGAGACCGTTATTTTTGTGGAAACGAGCAAAGGAGGAGATGTATATGGTTCCAGGGATAAAAGTAACACGTGTATACAAATATAGGGAACAGTCCAAACCCAGGGAGATGGAAAGTAGAAACTCTCTCTCCAGCTCAGGGTATTGTCATCAGGCTGGTGCGCTGGCTCGGGCTCAGTGAGGAGGTCCGATCTCCCTTCCAGGGCAGACATGATTGTTTGGCGTCATGGTTGCTCTGTGGGGAAAGGCTGGCTTGTCAGAGAACCATACGTATCTGATATATTATCAATCCACCAAAAGGGTGATTTTGTCAACTTTAGGGGGAGGGGAACTTTGGGGTAAAAGACTATCTAGACCGCACCCCTGAAGTCCTGGGTCTGGAAGGTGCCATTGGCAGGAGTAGAGCAAGTGGTGGCCAGATACGCCCGCCTGATGGTGGAGCCTGACAGCACACAGAGACCATGCTCGGACCTGCTTCACACAGACAGCTCCTGACAACCCCTGGGCAAGAGGCAGGAAATGTGTGGTCCCAGATGTCCCGTTGGATTGCCAGGGTGATTCATTTTGGAGGAGAGAAGAGATATTTCTGTGCGCACACAGGGCTCTATAGGCTTGGAACTCAGTTATTGTACAGGAGAGCCACAGAAGTAGGAAAGTACATAGCTCAAAAGAGGGATGCTGGTGAGTCCCCATCGTAGACTGCCAGGCTGGTGGAGAAGGGCAGCCCTGGGACTGGGAGGGGGTCGATCCATTGTCCAAATGACTCCAGCTGAATGCAGAGGGGTGTGCCCGCTGAAGCTGCCAGTCTACCTGCCAAAATCCTGGGCTGAGGCTGGGGGAGAAACAGGCAGAAGTGAGGGCCACATCCCAGGTCTTTAACGTGGGACAGAGAATGGCAAGCGTGGTCCCTGGGCGGGCTGGCTGTCAGTCTGTCTGCCTTGTGCTTGACTGGGGTTCTGGTGCCTGTCAGCCCCTTTCTCTCTCACTTTTATGGGTCTCAGTTGCTGTGTGTAGGTTTCTCCCTCTGCCCAGGTTGTCTCTTTCACTGCCTCTCAGCCCTTTGACTCTTCTGACTTACACAGCCACAAAGAAACCCAGCCAGACCCAGGAGCTGATACAAATACAGATGCGTATCGTAGATGCGTGGTCATTGGTGATAAAGCCCATCCATCTTGCTGGTCTATATATATTTATGTGAGCACATTTTCATTTCTCTGTAAAAATCTAAGGACAGCCTTGAAATTTCGTTTTTGGCTGCTGTCTTTTTGGGTGTCTGTGTCCAGTCCTCTCAGGGACCCTTCCCTTCCTCCTGACACCACACAAGAGCAGGCGTTTTGGCCCTTGGACCCTGCCACAGAATTAGCAATCCTCCCTCCCCCCGCATTGCCTTCTTTGAGGTTTGCCTCAGGTGGTTTGCCAAAGGTTTTTTGGGGGGAACAGAGAGGGCTGGATGGCCACATTGCAAGCAGTACCCGGAGAAAGAGATATTTGAAGCAACGGAGATACAATATCTTGCTCTAGGGCAGCGGTTCTCAACCTGTGGGTCGCGACCCCTTTGGCGGTCGAACGACCCTTTCACAGGGGTCGCCTAAGACCATCCTGCATATCAGATATTTACATTACGATTCATAACAGTAGCAACATGACAGTTATGAAGTAGCAACGAAAATAATTTTATGGTTGGGTCACAACATGAGGAACTGTATTTAAAGGGCCAGAAGGTTGAGAACCACTGCTAGGGGCTCTGGTGCCAGGCACAGAGATGCTTCCTAATCCACCTGGGGTTGGAAGCCTCCTCTGAGTGGTGGAGGGAAGGATATGGATGAGGCTCTGAAATCCCAGGAGCTGGTTCGTGGCCACCGAGAGCCACCAGAATGCCATTCAGCCTGGCAAGGGAAGAGGCACCCAGCTCAGCAGGGCAAGTCCTGGGAACAATACGAAGGGGAAGCAATAACGACTCTCAGGGCCCTGCTTCCCAGCCGTGCAGGACATGGAGCTGGAGAGCCCAGGGCTGGAC